ACCGTTGCGATCGGGCAGTTAAACTCTATCTAACGATATAATTTTTATATTTATTTGTAATACTTTTTCCGACATCATATTTTTGGGTGTTTGACTTTAACAGAGTCAAAATTGGTTTAATTGACCTTTCTCATAAAAGGTTCTCTCATTTAATTCATATCAATTATTCTCATGATTTATTTCAATAAATCATTACAAAGTTCACATCATAATCAATTAATTTATTTATTCTTGATTTGGGTCTGTACTCAGGTTCCCAATCAAGACCACACAAATAGTCCACATATTGGATTTATCTCGATTAGACTTATCCAGATTTTGATATTGGATATAAAAAAAATATTTCATATCAGCCCAAAGCCCAATAATAATCAAAACAAATTTGTTTAATCGAATAATTATTTAATAATAATTCTAGGGTATGTTTCGGGGCGTTACATTTGGTGATTGATAAAAGTGATCGGTCATTTTTTGACCTGTCCCTTTCGGTTGTCCGGGTCGGGTATAAGGATATACCCATCAACTCTCTCTGTCCAACAATAAAGTTCTTGTTCACTATTCACAGGGTCAAACTTTATTCACTTTGTTGGCTTATTTTTGTGTCTTGTTTGATAAAATAATATAGTCATGTCACTACTAGTTTTGTAGATCTTTTCATGTAGTTTTTAAATATGTAATTTGAATTTTTTAATTCCATACCATTTTTCATATAAAATAATTTGAAAATAATTTCAGTCAAACATCATAACGGGCAATGAGAACTTGGGAAATTTATTTCTGGGAGGGGTATACACCAATACTGACTTGTTGTCTTTTCCGGGAGGGAGCACAGTGTGATACAGTAATTCTCTGGATAAATCTCATATCAATCACCTCCTATCTAGTGTACATTCAGACTTCGAATCATCTGCGATTTTAGATAAGGCCAGTGGTGGTTGGTTGAGTCATTTCCCCTTTTGACTCTCTCTTTCACCTTTTCTTATATCATCATCATCATCATCATCATCCTTCCCTGTACTTCTCCTCCGTTCAGTCTCTTCCGAATTCATCTTCAAGGTGCTTTTCTTGGATCCCTTTGATGTTTTCTTTATGCCTGCAATCGTTCATGCTTCTTATAGTCGTTTGAAGATTTGGTTATTGACTTTGTGATCTGGGTTTGTTTCTTCGTTGGGTTTGGGGTTATTAATGATCTGCGAGAAACGGTTTAGGGTTTAAGATCTTGTATTGGGGATTGGTGTTTTCTGTTTTGATTGTTTTTAATCTCGCTTGATCTTCAAGTCCCAAGCTTATTCGCAATGTTGTTTTGAATCTGTGTGTGTTTGTTTGCTTCTATTGGAGTCATCTCACATCCGTTAAATATAAATGAATTTAGTTTGTATGACCTGAGCAGCAATCATGAATTCATAATTATGGAAAAAGATGAGGTTTTTATTTAGCTTGCTTGTGCCCATTGAATTTTTGCTGTTTGGGAAGAAGATGAAGAAGAAGCTTGGGTTTTCGAGCCTATTTGTTTTGTTTCCAAAAGTTGGTTGGCTATGGTTTTAGTTTAGATGAATCACATAATTCAATTGTTTTATTATGATATGGTTGTGAGTGAAAGATGAGGTTTTGATTTCTTGTTTATCTTTTTGTTAAGACAATGTTAAAAAAAATTGAATGATGCAGATCGATAATTGTTGCATTGGCATTGGTGGGTTGATCCAAAGCTGATATTTGATGGGATCTGAAGGGCCACCCGCCATAACAATCCATGTTACCGGGTTTAGAAAATTTCATGGAGTAGCAGAAAATCCAACAGAAACGATTGTGAGTAACCTTCAAGATTATATGAAGAAAAAGGGCATTTCAAAAGGGTTCGTCCTGGGAAGTTGCACTATTCTTGATACTGCAGGCCAGGGAGCCGTCACTGCCCTCTACGAAACATTGCGATCTTCTCTGAACAACACTACTTCTGATCCATCAAATTCCAGAATTATTTGGGTAAGTCTCTCCCCTGCCCTTGGTTATGTAGTTCTTTCTTTAATAATACATGTAAAGATCTTTCTGTTTTGCTTAAAAGGATGTTATATAATCTGTGAATTGTTTTACACTTGAAAAGTATTATGCCTACTGGAATCACAGTTTGACGGTCAATTTCTCGTTTCACATGTGTTTGTGTCGCACTGCATTGTAGACGTCAAGAATTTAGTCACGAAGCTGCCACAAACTGCAAAATCCGTGGCAAAATACAACAGTATTCAAATTAGGGGTCCAATGAATTGATTGTAACATGACAATTTCATTAAATTTGAAATACCAAAAATGCATTTTTAAAAATTAAAATGGACATAATTTTCAAAAAATGCACTTTTTGGCATGTCTATATTTAATTATGGACTCATGATTAAATTATCTATATTTTGAAAGGAATGGGTCTAAATTGCCAAAATGAATTCTGATTAGGTTTCACCAACTTCCTATAGTTACAGGGCCAAACATTCATTTTTCCATACTATTTTGCTACGTCCAACTAATCCGCGCCAACCCACCCACTCTGTGCTGGGGCATTGGACTTCACTTGGCCACCTAGCTAGTTCCTTTTCCTTTCTGAAATAGTGAAATGGTCCTGTCTAATTTCCTATGTTCTTAAAATCCATGTCCTAGGTATAGAACTCAAAGACTTACATTTAAATATAATCTGGATTCAAATTGTGAATGCTTTTTAGTGAAAGTAGTTTATTTACGTATTCCTAAAATGAGGCAGTGTACATTTGAAAAATATAGACTAAATTAGTGTATATATCCCAAGTTTTTTCTTTCTCCAATTACTCTTGTCCTAAAATATGTAGAAAATAATCCACATGCCTTTTATGCCATTATGTGCACCCCAAAGGGACAGGACCTTCCAAACTCTTGACTTGCAATTGTATACTTTTCAGGTACATTTTGGAGTTAATAGTGGTGCAACAAAGTTTGCCATAGAGAAACAAGCTGTTAATGAGGCTACCTTTCGCTGCCCAGATGAGATGGGATGGAAGCCACAGGTCAATACTCTCTTTTTCCTCTCTTTTATCGTGTGATCATGTCATTATTTCTCATTTATTTCAGAGATAACCATAATTTGTCGTTCGCAGAAAGTTGCCATAGTGCCCATTGATGGTCCAATTTCACAAATAAAACAGGTGAATTGTCTTCCATTATATTTCGAACTCATTTTACTGCATTTTTCTCGTTTTTTTATTTTTAAAGAAATCTAACATTTTGAATTAGCAATATGCTGAGCAAAATGCTGATTTGAGAATGTTGATAGGATCTGCTTTTTGAAAATAAAACATTATGTATTAGCATTTTAGTTGTATACGGAGTAGTTTTGAGCGTTATGCTAAGTTACTATTACAGTGTAAACCCTTTCCCTGGCCTTCAACCACAAACTTGATCTTTTGGTTGAATTGCTTCGTGGGCTTCCAAGAAAAGTAGAAGGAAAAGAAAAATTAGGCCCCCTTTGGTACACGGAATTCAAATTATGGAATTGGAATTGAGGACTTCAATTCCAATTCTGGAGTTTGGTAGCACAAAAAATCACGTGGATTTGGAGTTGATAGTGCAAAAAATGAATTGGAATTGGTGAATTCAATTCTATGGAATTGAATCCCATGGAATTTCAATTCCAATTCCATCAATTCTATATACCAAACTGACCCTTAGAGGAAAAATTAAGTTAAGAAGAGGGAAAATCAAATTCCTTCCATTTTGGTCAGGAAAAAGGAGAGATTTTTTTTCTTTTCCTTTTTCCTAATTCTTTAAAACAAAAAAATAATGTAACCACAAGAAAAATTCTTTTCCATATCAATCTTATCTCTTTTTTCTTTCAAAATCCTTGAACCAGACATGGTACTAGAGGTCACAAGTTCAAATTTCACTGCCACCCAATGCGAGTCAAACATGTTTATACAAACTGTTAAGTGCTATCTCCCACATGCTAACCACTATATGTTGTTTGCCAAACATGCCCAATACATAGACTTCCCTTCCGGTGGAGGACATCACGAAATCATTAGCAAAGATGGGTTTTGAAGTGATGTGCTCGGACGATGCGGGTCGGTTTGTTTGCAATTACGTGTACTATCATTCTTTGCGGTTTGCGGAGCAAAACGGACTAAAATCGCTATTTGCACACGTCCCTCTCTTCTTAACTATAGACGAGGAGACCCAAATGCAATTTGCTGTTTCTTTATTAGAGGCAATTGCCTCTACTGTATGCTAGTCCTCCTTCATGTGTTTCTTCTTGATTCCTATCTTGTAAGCCCTTCCTCTGTACTTTTGTGTGTGGCCTATGTATTTTCATGTAATAAATGGTCTCAGATGAATGACAAATAACATTGTTGTATACCTCAAACGGCTCAAAGTTGTCTCCACACTGGTTTGGAAGTTTGGGCTTTGGTTTCTTTGGTCTGTTTTGTTACTAAAGGATACTCCCTCTGGCCCTAAATAATAATTCTCTTTCTCCGAGTCTTGCTAAGCAATGACGCTTTGTGAATAATAACTCGAAATGGTCAAATTGTAAGTACTATGGAATAAGATCTGTGCACATATATCTGACTTTATTTTTTTTTGTGAGATTTCACTGGATTGTTGTTGCTACGAAAAATAATATGGTATCAATGGAGTGTCGTGCTAGGGGTGCTTTTCCATCAACGGATTATTATCTGGATAATCTCGATAATATTTAAACTCTATGCACAAAATATGTGGTTTTTTATATCCTCCGTTTAAAAATTATCTTCTCGTTCAATATTCACATGATCAAAATTTATTCACTTCGTTGGCTTATTTTTGTTGCCATTTAATAAAATAATATAGTCATGTCATCTCTAATTTTGTAGATTATTAATGTAGTTTTTAAATATGTTATTTTTATCTTTATTAATTCCACACAATTTTTTATGTACAAAATGATTTGAAAATGACACATGTCAAATATGTAATGGAAAATTTTTTTTGGAGGGAGGGATAAATTTTATCATGTGACTGCTAAATTAGTTGAAGGGCATAAATTACTTTCAAGTCTGTTTGAGGAGAAGTTCCAAACTGAGATGGAGTTATTCTCCCTCATCTACTGCTAAGGAAGAATAGGTAAGCTAGCGAATAAATGTACGCCGCCGAGTCCAAATGTTGGTAAAAAAGAAATAGTGGGGAATGGGTCAATCAACAACAACCACGGTTAAATAATTGAATTAACGCCTTGTTTGGGAACAACGTTTTTTATTAGCGTCAGTATTTTCAATAAAATTTTAATTGTGTAGATTAATTTTAAAAATGATGACGCTAAAGGCTACCATCGGATAACCTTTTTAAAACGCTAACGCTAATCACTAACGCTGATGCCAAACGGGGCCTAAATGAGTAAAGCGTAAGTTAAAAATGATTAGTTCGATCCTGGAAAATTCATTTCAATTCAAATGAGTTAAGTTATGTACAACAAATCAATCATTTCGTTCCGAATGAGTTAAACTATTTTTAACATATAATGTTAACACTTACTCCATCCGTCCCAAATTATAATGCATGTTTACTATTCACAAGGTCAAACTTTATTCACTTTCTTTCTCTATTTTCGTTAGAAAATTGATAAAATAAAGTATTATTGTCACTACTAGTTTTGTAGATCTTTTGATGTAGTATTTTAATATGTAATTTTTATTTTTTAATTACATACTCCCTCTGTCCCGTGAAACATGTGACATTTGTTTTTAGGAGGGATTTAAGGAGAGTGTATTTTGGTATTGAATTTCCAAAAATGTCCTTTGATGTGATGGGTAAAAACATGATTTGATAGATAGATTATTAGTAAAAAGGTATGATGTGATAGTTATGGTATGAAAAAGTAAGGGGTAAAAGTGACTTTTTAATAGAAATGAGAAGTGTTTTGTGGGACGGATAAAAAAAGAAAGAAGAAATGTTTTACGGGACAGGGGGATTATCATTTGTCATATAAAATGATTTGAAAATAATTTCAATCAAACATCGTAAACCGAAACAGGCGTTATAAAATGGGACGGAGGGAGTATTTTATTTGAAATGAATTAGACTATCTTCAATGAATTCCTATTTTTGTTCTTTCTACACCAAAAATTGGTGCTATATATTTATGTGACCAAAGCTTTTTGGCGGTTTTGTTGCGCTCTGTTGAGCCCAAAGTGGTCAAGAAGAGGGGCAAAATTTGTTCTTTTATCTTTTCTATCCGTCCTACTATTTTTGTCTCATATCACATTTATGTAGTTTTGAACACAAACTTACATACTCCCTATTATCTTACTACCTCCGTCCCACTGTCTTTGTCCACTTTTGACTTTTGGAATTGTTCAATTAAACACTTTGACTCATCAAATTCTCTCAATGTGTAAGCCTAAATATAGTCATGTGTGATCTTGTTTGATTTGTCTTAACATATAGATTATTAATATATAATTTCTATAATTTTTTAATATATAAATTACAAGATAAAATGAATTAAAGAAGTGCATTGGATGGTGTGCCAAAAGGTAAGTGGACAAAGACAGTGGGATGGAGGGAATATTATTCTTAATTTTGGTGTCACTTCCTCATTTCCCAAAAATGGGTAAGAGAGGGATATTTGATAAAGTTTTCAATAATAATGTCAAAAAACATAGCTTGAACTGTGAATAATATTGTTGTTTTTTTAGACCTAAAATTTATAATATATGGTGTAATTATATAATTTTAAGGAAATACAAAAAATACACCTTCTTTGTTCTAAAAACAATCTTTATATTTGAGTCTTCCTGGTCAAATTTTACCAAATTTGGACCATAAATTATAAAAAAATGAACATTTGATTATAATGTAAATTTGGTATAATTGGTTCATTTTAAGATGTAGTTTTGATATTTTAAATTTTATACTCTCCGTCCGGAAAAGATCTCTTTGACTCTTTTTGCTTAAAGTTTATAAATTTTGACAATAATATGCAGAAAAAATACATTGTGTTTGGATATAAAGTTAATATAAAAGTTTCATTTTGAAGACTGATTTTGAAATATTGAATACTCCCTCCGTCCTAGTGTATTCATCCAACTCGACTTTTTCGAGTCAAACTCGACGAATTTTAATCAGCAATTGCTCTTAATTAGTGTTGCATATCAATACAATATATTAAAATTTTAATAGTTCTCAACAAGATAAATCTATTGAAATAATTTTTATACTAAAATACATTGTCATTTTTATTTAATTGAGGTCTAAAGTTCGTCCAGTTTGACTCAAAAAAGTGAAACTGAACGAATACACTGGGACGGTGGTGATATATATTAATATGTTGAAACACGAAAAGTTTAAACATCATAAATCTCGAGATAACTCTTTTTTTTTGGAACACAAAGAGTATTTGTTACGATAATAACACTAATATTTTAATGCTTCACATTAGTAAAAATATGTTACGGAGTAGTATAATCAAGAAATTTACATCAGTATTTTATGTCATATGAATCATCACACTGACACAAAATGAAAATATATATCTATGATGCCCAACATGGGAAGTACTCCGTATAAAACATTAACGTTGAACCAATTAATTATAGGCCTGTTTGGGAATAGCGTTAAAGATTAGCGTTAGCGTTTTGGATAAAATTTTAACGGTTTAGATTACTTTGAAAACGCAAACGCTAAACGCTACCCGTACATAGCCTTTTCAAAACGCTAACGCTAATCACTAACGCTATTCCCAAACAGGCCCATATAAGTCCTTCACTGTCGCTCCACGCCTTTTATATCGGCTGATAAATCGGTCAAAAATGCATGCATGATGTCATCATTTCTCGGCGTCACTTTTCAAAATAGGATTATGCTATGTGTACCCCAAGGTTTGTACCTCAATTTGTACCCCGCAGTTTTGCACCAACATTTTGTGTTGGTGTAAAACTAATTTTTGTTAAATGCACTAACATTTGTGTCCGTGTGAATTCTTATTAACGCACCAACACTTGTGTCGGTGTAAACCATCGAAATGTTTGTGCAAACTTGTGGTGTACAAATGGGGTATATTTTTTGGTGTAAGTGTAGCATGGTCCTTCAAAATAACATGTCAAGAGTAAATTAATAGGAAAATGCTAAAGAGGCACCACGTGTGCCTCCAAGCATGCCACCTAATATATTTAACTTTTTTTTTTTCAAATTTTCCTTTTTCTTAGTCTTTTCGTCTCCCTCCCCTAAAATTCTCAAATCTCCCTTCTCCAGCGCAGGTCTGCGGCAATCCAGTCTCGAAGCCGGCATCTACGAGTGGGATTACGCGCGGTAGTCCCGCCCTCCAGCGCCGGCAGCCCACCCCTCCAGCTCCAGCGTCGGCAGCCCGGGAACCCCTCCAGCTCCAGCGCCGGCAGCCCCACCCCTGCCGGAACAGGTACTGACGCTAATTTCCCTTTCCTTGGTCTCTTTCTTGATCTCTCTACTGATAATTTCAGTTTCCTTGGTGTTTTTAAATTGTGTGTTAATGTAGTTGTGGATTTGATAATGGTATGTTTGTGTAATTTCAAATCTCCATAATGCAGTTTCAGTTTGATGTTCTTTTTCATTGAAATTAGGTATTCCCAGTTTCTTTGAATGCTTGTTATTTTTGCTTACTGTGTGAATTGTATGACATAGATGATTAAGTTCTGTTATTTGAATGCCATATAACATTATTGTCTGTGAAAGAGGTCTGCTTGTTATTTTTGCTTGCTTTCTGTGAATTGTATCTCATAGACGATTAACTTCTCTTTATTGAACTTCATATAACATTATTGTCTGTGAAAGAGGTCTGCTTGTTATTTTTGCTTGCTTTCTGTGAATTGTATCTCATAGACGATTAACTTCTCTTTATTGAACTTCATATAACATTATTGTCTGTGAAAGAGGTTTGCTTGTTATTTTTGCTTACTTTATGTGAATTGTTTCGCATAGAAGATTAAATTCTGTTAATTCAACTTCATATATGATTATTGTCTGTGTAGATATTTAACTTCTGTTAATTGAACTTCATTTCAGATGATGTCTTTGTTAATCCCTGTTAGTGCTCATTTTGGAGCTCAATACTCAGTTTGTTCTGACATCCGTGAAGCCATCAACCAGACGATGAATTCTGGATCATTCCCTTGCAGGTGTGACAATTGTGGAGTGATGGTGCTTGCATTTCTAGAGTATTTGTTGGTGGGCTTACCATTAAGCCCGGACTGCAGTTCTGAACACATGGCTGATTTCCGATGTCAATTTGCAGCTAGGTTATGGCGTGGAAG